ACACGCACTCACTCACACACACACACGCGCGCGCACACGCACACACACGCACACTCACTCACGCACTCACGCACTCACACACACGCACACTCACGCATACACGCACACACACGCACTCACTCACACACACACACGCGCGCGCACACGCACACACACGCACACTCACTCACGCACTCACGCACTCACACACACGCACACTCACGCATACACGCACACACACGCACTCACTCACACACACACACGCGCGCGCACACGCACACACACGCACACTCACTCACGCACTCACGCACTCACACACACGCACACTCACGCATACACGCACACACACGCACTCACTCACACACACACACGCGCGCGCACACGCACACACACGCACACTCACTCACGCACTCACGCACTCACACACACGCACACTCACGCATACACGCACACACACGCACTCACTCACACACACACACGCGCGCGCACACGCACACACACGCACACTCACTCACGCACTCACGCACTCACACACACGCACACTCACGCATACACGCACACACACGCACTCACTCACACACACACACGCGCGCGCACACGCACACACACGCACACTCACTCACGCACTCACGCACTCACACACACGCACACTCACGCATACACGCACACACACGCACTCACTCACACACACACACGCGCGCGCACACGCACACACACGCACACTCACTCACGCACTCACGCACTCACACACACGCACACTCACGCATACACGCACACACACGCACTCACTCACACACACACACGCGCGCGCACACGCACACACACGCACACTCACTCACGCACTCACGCACTCACACACACGCACACTCACGCATACACGCACACACACGCACTCACTCACACACACACACGCGCGCGCACACGCACACACACGCACACTCACTCACGCACTCACGCACTCACACACACGCACACTCACGCATACACGCACACACACGCACTCACTCACACACACACACGCGCGCGCACACGCACACACACGCACACTCACTCACGCACTCACGCACTCACACACACGCACACTCACGCATACACGCACACACACGCACTCACTCACACACACACACGCGCGCGCACACGCACACACACGCACACTCACTCACGCACTCACGCACTCACACACACGCACACTCACGCATACACGCACACACACGCACTCACTCACACACACACACGCGCGCGCACACGCACACACACGCACACTCACTCACGCACTCACGCACTCACACACACGCACACTCACGCATACACGCACACACACGCACTCACTCACACACACACACGCGCGCGCACACGCACACACACGCACACTCACTCACGCACTCACGCACTCACACACACGCACACTCACGCATACACGCACACACACGCACTCACTCACACACACACACGCGCGCGCACACGCACACACACGCACACTCACTCACGCACTCACGCACTCACACACACGCACACTCACGCATACACGCACACACACGCACTCACTCACACACACACACGCGCGCGCACACGCACACACACGCACACTCACTCACGCACTCACGCACTCACACACACGCACACTCACGCATACACGCACACACACGCACTCACTCACACACACACACGCGCGCGCACACGCACACACACGCACACTCACTCACGCACTCACGCACTCACACACACGCACACTCACGCATACACGCACACACACGCACTCACTCACACACACACACGCGCGCGCACACGCACACACACGCACACTCACTCACGCACTCACGCACTCACACACACGCACACTCACGCATACACGCACACACACGCACTCACTCACACACACACACGCGCGCGCACACGCACACACACGCACACTCACTCACGCACTCACGCACTCACACACACGCACACTCACGCACTCACTCACACACACACACACACACACACTCACACATACACTCACACTCACTCACTCACTCACGCACTCACACACACGCACACTCACGCATACACGCACACTCACGCATACACGCACACTCACGCATACACGCACACTCACGCATACACGCACACTCACGCATACACGCACACTCACGCATACACGCACACTCACGCATACACGCACACTCACGCATACACGCACACTCACGCATACACGCACACTCACGCATACACGCACACTCACGCATACACGCACACTCACGCATACACGCACACTCACGCATACACGCACACTCACGCATACACGCACACTCACGCATACACGCACACTCACGCATACACGCACACTCACGCATACACGCACACTCACGCATACACGCACACTCACGCATACACGCACACTCACGCATACACGCACACTCACGCATACACGCACACTCACGCATACACGCACACACACACACACACACAGGTTTGTTTTTATGGTTTATGGGGACTCTCCATAGGCGTAATGGTTTTACTACTGTACAGACCGTATATTCTATTGCCCTACACCAACCGTATACAAACCGCAGCTGTTTCGTCTCTGGACTCAGGACTAGAGAGGAGAGGGTTGGTTAATGCAGGAAAGGACGTGTGTCCTCAAAATCAAACAGGAAACAAACAGGAAACTCTCAAGCTATTAAGGGATGTTTGGAAAGGATCCTACTAGGCAATTTGCATTGTGCAACTTGTGATGAAGTATCCGCCGTAGCATTTTGCACATTTTGTGATAAAGTGCAGAGAAAAAACAGACTCATATGTCCACTTTGTTTGGTGCTAATGGAACACACTCGATCTTTCACTAAACTACCAACACTGGAACAAGATCTATCGGTTAGACAGCTGGTTAGTTGCTTCCCCAAAGCATTTCAGTCAGGCTACTTGTGGTTATTCCAAACGATATGAAAAAGCTAATAAAAAGTTAAACTTGCAGTCGTTTATGTGGTATAAAGTTGCATTTGAATGGCAGATGGTGCTAGAAACGGCTCGGTTGCTAAAAACACATTTGTCACCACAGATCCAGAACTAATATTTCTTAAAGGTTTGATTTATTGAATTTGGCACATGGATATACACTGACACATTTGTGAGAGGTGCAACACATTTAAAGTTGGCAGTGAACAATGCTGAAGCTTGGAAGCCTGTTTCTGCCACGGGATTAAAAAAAAAAAAGTTAGTTGTGATTTTTTATCTCACAATTTGGAAGTTTTTTTCTTGCAATTCTGAAAAAAAAAAAAAAACTTCTATAAAAAAACTGCAAGATATAAACTCGCCATTATCTTTTTAATATTTTTTTTTATTCTGTGGAGGGAACAGAAAAGTTAGAATTCCAAGATAAACTCAGAATTCAGAGGAATAAAATCATAATTGTGAGACATAAACGCAGAGTTGCAAGAAATAAGTTGGAATTGTGAGATATTCAGAAAACGCAGAATTACATGGGGACAAAAAAATCTGAATTGTGAGTTTGTTTCTTAATATATATATATATATATATATATATTTTCCCCCATGCCAGAAACGGGCTTTCATAGCTGAACATTTCAGTACTTTCTTAAAAAAAAAAAAATTAACACATACAAACAAATATAGACCATCTGTTAATATAAAGATCTCCTGTTACAGCTGTGCATTTATTTACAACTTTAATATATACATAAACAGCCTTAACTGCTAGAATTTCTCAGTGTATGTACATTAAAACACCTGAAAGTGTCTGAACCAGACTAATGACCAGTAAAGACGTGACTGGCCACGTGAAAACATTCATTTATACGACAAATCTCATGCCACCAAAGTGAGGCTAATATTTCATAAAGCAGAGCATTTCCTATGTTTTATATAGTGCAACATTCATTACTTGTCTGGAAACTGATATATTTTGTTTGCAGCGAGCAGCCCTGTGTGAAATCCACACGCAGCAGGTGTCTGGTTTACTTTGGCACGAGGGTCTCTTAAGTAGACGCTTATCACAGGAGATGCCTCACTGGACTCATTGTGCCACAGTCCCTAAAGAGATTTACTGCGGTCTCCATGTTCCCACAGTTTCCTTAACGGACAATTGATCTACATGAGCAACACGGGACGAGAGGTTGTGAAGCATGACGAGCATATATTCGTGAATATATTCGCAATATAATTATGTTTCTACATGATACAATATCCAGGACTTTTTTTTATTTTCTTTTTAAAAAGTACACTACAGGTCCAAAGTTTGGAAGATTTGTTTAATGTTTTCTGAAAGAAGTCTCTTCTAGGCTCACCGAGGCTGCATTTATTTGGTCAGAAATACAGGAAAATTATGAAATATTATTCTAATTTAAAACAGCTGTTCTCTATGTGAATATATATTAAACTGTAATTTATTCCTGTGATGCAAAGCTGTATTTTCAGCATCATTACTCCAGTCTTCAGTTTCTGATTTTCTGACATTTCTGATTATTATATGATGAAAACATATTTTGTGAAAACCTTCTTTACTGTCACTTTTGATGAATTTAATTCATCCTTGCTAAATAAAAGTATTAATTTTGGCTAAAAATGGCAGTGTATCACACTTTCCACAAAACTGTTCAGCAGCACAACTGTGTTCAACATTGATAATAATCAGAAATGTTTCTCGAGCAGCAGATCAGCATATTATACTGATTTCTGAAGATCATGTGACACTGAAGACTGGAGGAATGATGCTGAAAATACAGCTGCGCATCACAGAAATAAATGATACTTTACAATATAATCGAGTTATTTTTAATTGTAATAATAATTCACCATTTGTCCTGCATGTTTGATCAAATAAATGCAGCCTTGATGAGCAGAAGAGACTTCTTAATTCCGAACTTTTGGCCAGTACTATATATATATATATATATATATATATGTCCTTATTACTTTTATTAAGAAAATGCATTCTTCAGTGAGAAGAGCAAATGCAGACTTTAGCAAAAAGACCTTCAAAGTTTCAAAAAAAGATCTGAACAATGTCTGAAACTGTGCTCGGAGATCTCATCTGAACTCCTTCACTCCTCATCAAACCATCTGAGCTGCTTTGCACATTCACTTCACAGCTCTAGACTCTTCCTGGGTGACTACAAGTGACTCGTTTGAGTCCGTTTTTAGTTTTAAGACGCTTAAATGAACCAGAATGAACTCCATCGCATCTCCTGAGCTGTAATCGTGTGTGTTATCGCATCTGGAACTCGAGCAGCATCCAGGACTGTGAGTCTATAACCCCGCTGTGAGAGTCTCACCAAAGTGCGGATCAATAAAGTCACATTCTCAGTGTGTGCGTCACGTCTCGGCCGGAGCCGACCCGCTGCATTTGGGCGAGTGATCGAACTCTTTCCAGGTGCCCGAGCTACACGTGGGACTGCGGTTGGTGATTTTGGTGAGCAGCGTGATTCTCCGTATGCTGCTGTCCGAATCCTCCTTCCGGAAGCTCTGCCGGATCTTGTGGCAGCAGGGGAAGCAGTGGGCGAAATCCTGCAGGAGGTGTCCGCTGAAAACCATGTAGATCCACGGGTTACAGCAGCTGTTCAGACTGGCCAGCAGCGCAGACAGAGTGACGGCCGTGTTCTCTGAATCTAGACACACACACACACACACATCAGCAATAGCTGTAAATGCTTGAAATAAAGAAACAGTCCAATACATAGTTCTTTCCCCAAGTAACACAGTTCTATGTCTCACTGTTGGCTCTTTACGGTTGCTAAGCAACATAGGAACAATGATTAACATGGAATGCAACATTTTATCAACAGCTTAGAACATCCGTCATCCAATCAGCATCCAGGACCGGAACTAAACGTTCATAACTTATAAACTATAAAACAAGATACAGTGTAACTATAAAAAGATGTTTATAGAAGGAATTATATTATAAGGTATCTTTTTTTTTTTTTCATCAAAA